AAGTTATTTTTAACTACTACATGGTTGTGATTTGCGCATTCAATGTCTGAACATTGCAAAAGAAATGGTTAACTTTATCTTTAATGAAGCTAAGAGTTCTCTTAAACTAAAAAGCCAAGAAAAATAAAACTGAGCTCAACTAAAAAAATGTATAAATAAATTTATATTTCATTAGAGAAAGTAAATAAAGATCAAATTGTTAGTAATGATTTATTTACTACTAACCCATATTACGGGTTGCTTACTGCATAAATAAATTTATATTTTATTAGAGAAAGTTAATAAATATCAAATTGTTAGTAATGATTTATTTACTACTAACCCATATTACGGGTTGCTTACTGCTAGTACTATTTAAACGTGTGTAAAGTATTTTTAAAAATATATTTTTAAATTAAAAAAACTTTGAAAATCTAAACAAACAAAAAAATATTTATAATCAGAAATAAAATCTTCTGTAATTCGCTAAACAAGATTGATGTTTAGCGAATTAACAATCATAAATATAGCAACACGATAGCTGACAATATTTACACTTTTAAGACTCTATTTTGAACAAAAGACGAAGTTACAACTTTTTTAATAAAATATTTTTTGAACCGTATAGATAAAACAAAACAGATAAAACAAAGGCCAAACATCTAACTTGAAATGATTAATAATAATGATTTAATTCTTCAAATTGAATCTATAAACAAAGTTATTTATTGTATTACATTTAGGTTGTTTTTATTAGTACGCATAAGTGCGAATTGGCATAATTGCAAATTGGCATAAGTGCAAATTGGCATAAGTGCAAATTGGCATAAGTGCAAAGCAGTTACAAAAAATAATACAAGTGCCAACTGGGATAAGAGCAATTGCGCTCTTCATTGCAATGCAAAGAGTTGAGTCTCGTTGTTTCAGTCTGTTTATAAGAAACTTGAAAATTACCTCAGCATTAAGAGGAGTTGCTTCCTGTCAGAAAAGGGCTTCTGCTGCCAATTTGACTGGTTCAAGAGCAGCAACATTGTCGTATAAAATGTTTACTTCATCATCACTGCAAATCAAACATAGAGAAACTTTTTTTAATATTATTCGGAGTGAATCTGTAACTAACTTAGAAACTGTTGAATTATTGATAGTAGACTGTTCCACCTTGTTCTACAGTCGAGAATAAGTGAAACCCTTTTTCCATGCTGTTACTTGATTTCTTCTTGGAGGACGTCATTTTTGACAGGAGATTTTTAAAACAACTTGACAGTTTTTCGGTCTTTTGTAATGACAGATTGCAAGTGCAGTGTCACTTGGAATGTTTTTATTCATAGCAGCATCAAGAAAACTGACTTTAGTGTCAGATTCGAATTCCCCACTTCTGACTTCATCTTTGTTGCTTGTTACTTACAATGTCTTATCATCGATATCGTGGAAAAGGTTATTGGTCATTAAAGATTTATAAGTGTTTTTAAGGTCATTTCTCATGTAAGCTGCTAATTTTTTTAACCGATTGGATTGCTTGCTTATGGTTTTTTTTGGAAAATCATATCCTTTTTCACACATGGCATATCGAATAAAAAAACTTTTAACAATAGCTTGGAAACTAAATACATCCAGTGTTGTTAGTCTAGAAATCATTTCTTCAATTAGTTACTTTGGGAAAAAAGTTGAAATCTATGGCTTTTTTGATTCTGTTGTAGTTTTGTTATCAGCTTTTCTTGTGTTTCTTTTTTAATTCTATATTTTTTGTCTAGGTGATACCACAGTTGTGCAACTTGAATATTTTTTTGAAAATTTACTGATGTTTCTACATATTTTGCAAGTCACTTTCCTTTGTTTAAGTTAAGTTTCCAAACGTCTGACATTTTGACCAAAAGCATTTCAAATTGATTGATAAATTTAGCAATAAATATCACAAGAAAAAAGTAATGTCTTTCTTAATATGCTCAGACAAACAATTCATAACAAAATCTTGAAGAATAGAGAAGTCATAACAAAACCTTGAAGAATAGAAAAATTAAAAGTATATTAGGTGCGGCTGAAAACCTTAACATCTTTTTACATCAAAATATTATTCACAAAGGCAGCAAGGAAAAGAAAATTAATGTCATAATTGGGGATTTTTAATGAATTGTTTAATTCTAGTATAGTAGAAATCATTTGCCAAAATTTACCAACATAATTTTACCGGTAAATTTTTGGTATAAGCTCAACGCTTATTCTGAATAGCTCCGACATATTTCAATGTCCTTATGCAATAACTTTATTATTGTTCGGTAAATTAAGCAGTTATTTTAAAATCTATAATTTGGATTTAAAATTTATTTATACATTATTGCATGGCGTAATTATAATATAACTCAATATTTTATTTTCCAAAACTAAGTGGATAAAGAAAAAACCTCAGTCTGTAAAATCTGGTCAATCCCGTCGAATTAAAAAAAAGTTGATTGTTATGAAAAATTTCAATTTAAATGTAGTATTAGTTCAAAATTAGAAAATACATTTAAAATCGATATGCCATTTGGTTTGTGCAGCCCTTTTGAAGTAATTTACTGACCTTTCTGTAAATTACACAATAATTCCGAAATGATGTATTATTTGGATACCGTGATTTACCTATGCATACTAACATGGTGTAATAAAATATAACCCCAAGTTTTGTTTTCCAAAAATAAATAGATAAGTAAAAATCCCCATTCTGAATTCTGGGCGATCCCGACAGATTAAAAAAAACTGTCGTATTTAGTTTTCTTATAGTTGTTAGATCACTGTGGAAAACTTAGAGTCAAATGTAATAACGGTTCAAAAGTTATTCAAAAGTCAATATGATGCAAAAATACTCTCTTTTTTGTTTCCATAATACAGAAAATTTTCCATACTTTAGACCTAGACCTGTTGTCAAAAAATCATCAACATTTGCACTACAATTACGTTTAAGTAATGCCATGTATAAACACGTATTTTAGACGTCGAAATGAGAACATCTAAATTAGGTTATTTAAAGACGTCATTTGGCGTTTCAATTTAGCAATAGTTCTGAACGTCCTAAATTCACGTATTTTAGACGTCTAAAAACACGTATTTATTCCGTCCTAAAAAGACGTCCTAATTACGTCTTAAAAAGACATCATCTGGCGCTGCCATTTAGAACCAGTTCCGGACGTCCTAAAAAGACGTCCTTTCGACGTCATATGGACGTTGGCGTGCCCGCTGGGTCTCTCTTAAAACAAGGAAATTGGTTATCAATGTGTTATTCTTTTAACAAAGGAATTATTATTTTTTTTTTTCTTTAAAAATTTTTGGTACCTTTGAATAAATAAATTTAACAAAGTATTCAGTTAACCAGCGTAAAATAAACTTATTTCATTGCTTTTATGTCTTTCTTTCAATTTGCGTCATAATCTAATTTAACGCACCTTTAATAAGTACTTTTGTAACTCATTATTTGACAAACTAAAACCTAATTTTTTTCGTCAGAATTTGGTCTTAAACTGGCCAGTCATGATCGAAAACCTTATTAAAGTCATTATAAACTTAAAATGACCCATACTTTTTCGGAGGATTTGCATTACCTCTAACATAGTTGTAACATGATGAAAAAAGCAAATAAATCATTTCTTTCACATAGCTCTAAATAGTGATGACCTCAAGTAAATATTTTAAACGCTTCAAAGTTTTATATAAACTTTTGGTGGATGTAGTAGTATGATAAGCTTATAATGAGTCTATACGCATGCAAGTGTATAGTTCTAAGTTATTTTTTAATTTTGTATTCATTTTTGGTAGATGTAGTAACTAAGTTAGCTAACAGTAGGTCAACTTTTATTTTTATTAGAAGTATAATAAACTTTGTTATAGTTCTATCGTTCTAAAGCAATATATATATATATATATATATATATATATATATATATATATATATATATATATATATGTATATATATATTGGTTTTTTGTTTTTAATTTTTTTAGTGTTTTCTGATAATTATTTTTTAAAATAAAATTTACAAGCTAAAATATAATAATATCATCATAAACAAGTGAAGATACTAAATATATAAAAGATATATATATATATATATATATATATATATATATATATATATATATATATATATATATATATATATATATATATACATATATAAAAAGAACGCGGAAAATTGTAGAAGAAAGTATGGTCTTGTCGTCGAGTACCGCTGTAAAAAGACGCTGTTGCATTTTTACATATTAAATATTTCACGTTTATATATATATATATATATATATATATATATATATATATATATATATATATATATATATATATATATATATAATATTATATATATATATATATATATATATATATATATACATATATTTATATATATATATATATATATATTAGTACAGTCGAGGAGGCTACTTTAGTAGTGGTTACAACCCTCTCTGAACTCTATAATTCCGAAATATGAAGCTTGACAAATAACCTAACGAACTGCGCGGAAACACATGTTGAGAGTGGTTTTACCAGGGACGGGGTGGGGATCGAATTAGGAACTTTTCTCTTATGAGACGAGGGCTCTACCACTACACCAATACCCAGTGAGCACCAGACCTAAAAATATGTCTTTTGAACGTAAAAAATACGTCTAAAACGTGTACAAAACGTTTAAAAGACATCTTTTTTATGTCGGTGCTCACTGGGTAGCGCACAAAGTGGAAATTTATTTAATAAATTTAGGGGCTAAGAAGTTAAGGTTGTTCCCAACGTTTAACTAACGGCATTTTATAAAATTAACAGCCGTTTTTGTGAGTTGTATTGTGTTTGTATTGAGAGCATTAATGATAATAATAGTAATTTTTTTATCTATTTTTTTATTGTTTATATGTCATTAAAAAAAAGAATGCAATGCCGTGTTATATAAATAAAATCTACATGACCGGGGCTAAAAAAAATAATATTTGTCTTATCACTACACCCCGAATTATATTAATAATAATAATGATAATAATTTAATGTTGAATATCATAATCACCTTCAATCTTTTCATTGTGGCAGTAGCAGGCCGATTCCATTTTACTATACCGACAATTCAAAACATTAGATGCAAATTTCCAGAAGGTGAAAACAAGACCTAACAGTATTGCCGCAATGCTTTCAACAAGGAAACAAATGATGTTCAATACCATAAAAGCTATCATCTACAAATTAAACATTTAACGTTAAAAGTTTTACTTTCAAAAATAAAAATTTTATTTTTAACCTTAAAAATAAATATTTCAACGTTAAAAACTTCAACTTTTCACATTAAAAACTTAAACTTTTAACGTTAAAAATATAAACTTTATTCATTAAAAGTTAAACTTTCAGCATTAAAAGTAAAACTTTCAACTTTAAAAGATTACTTTTACCGCTGAAAGTTTTACTTTTAACGTTTTATATTATCTGAAAGTTATCAAAATTTACATTTATGAATTTTTGATTGTTCCCAGCGCTGAATAATATGGGGTTTGATTGCCATATAAAAAAAATAATTAAATGGAATATTTTTTTTTTTTTTTTTTTTTTTTTTTACCATATAAATTTATTCAAGTCGTAAAGCATAACATATATACAAATAGCAGGGGCAAGAAGAAGGAATAATTTGTCTTATCACCACTTTATGTCTCTTTTTTGTCTTATCAAACACTTTCTTAGGATATTATAAATAAAAATAATAGTTCTTAATGTTCTTTAACTTTAACTTTTTAGTTTTGTATTGGTTGTGAAAAATTTAAATAAAAATTTAAAGAAAAAAAAAAGAAAAAAAAAATGTTTAGCATAATAAAAACTCTATTATTAAAAAGCATGTAGGCAAATACGCATAATTCTGAAGCTTTCCTTTTACACATGCAGATACCTTAAATTATCTGAAGAATTTTTATAAATCATAAGTTTTTATAAAAGAAAAAATGAATCAGTAACAAGTGACATGATCCTTTCTCAGATCGTCAAGCTGATAATGACAAACCTCTAATTACTTATTAGTAGCAATCATTAATACTTCAGAAAAAGCTGAGCGCTGCGTCTTCATCAATAGTTTTTGCTTCAATT